GGAGAACCATGAGCTGGAAGACTGAAAAATCTCCATAGACATTTAGCCAGGCACTTTGGAATGAATCCTTCAAATGGTGCAGGAGTATGAGCGGATTTGCAGACTACAGGAACCATTTGCACTTCAGTTTGAGATGCAGGCCTCGATAACTCACTAACAACTCATGTATGGACCTCAATGCCCAGGATTCCCTAGCCAGCACGGATGGCTGGGGAGTTCTGGGAACTGAAGTCCACACCTCTTAAAGTTGCCAAGGTTAAAAAACACTGCTCTACACCTTCCCCAAAGCATGTTCTTGATCTGTCTTTTCCCAGATGACACATTTCCGCTCCCCTATCGGAAAACACCCCTCCCCCAATTTTTTTTTTTTACACAGGAAAAAAAATTGCACGTTCGTTTGCAAACAAGAGAAACCGACCAACTGTCCAGTAAGCAAGAATATTTTTTTTAAAAAAAGATTATTTACCTCTTGTACAACGAAGGACCCGTAATAAAGTATTTTCCTTTTGGTTGATACATTGTAGACAAAAGGAAAAAGGCAGAAAGAGATTAAGCTGTCTTCTTCTGGGATTTTCTGCATGTTGCAAGGGGAAAAAAAATGGAAATCTTTTGAAACAAAAGAATATCTCATAAAATCTTCGCTTGCCTTCTAACTTGCATCGATATACTTTTTTTTGCTCTTTTCCGATCGCTTATTTAGTATCCTATGACTATCATTAAGTGTTGTATCTTATAATTCTTGATTAATGTATCTTTAATGTATCTTTATGTGTCTCATGATTCTCGATAAATGTACTTTTATGTACAGAGTATATGCACCAAAGATAAATTCCTTGTGTATCCAATCACACTTGGCCAATAAAGAATTCTATTCTATTCTATTTTCTATTCTATTCAGTTTTCTATTCTGTTCTACTTCTATTCTATTTTCTATTCTCTTCTATTTTCTTTTCTCTTTTCTTCTATTCAATTTTCTATTCTGACTATTCAATTCCATTCCTATTCTATTCGATTGCTATTCTATTCAATTTTCTCTTTTATTCTATTCTATTTTCTATTCTATTCTCTATTCTATTCTGTTCTCTATTCCATTCCATTCTATAACAATACATCAAAAATAAAAACAACAAACCATCTCTCTCAAAGCAAAGGTTTATGCTTGGGCACAATTACATAACTGACATAAAGGAAAAATCACACATTCCCCAGTTCCCTAATTTAGAACTTTTCACAATTCCACAGCAAAGCATCCATTTCACCTCTTAGTCAGGCTAATATGTCAGATATAGATAGTCCTTGACTTACAACAGTTCATTTAGTGACTGTTCAACGTTACAACGCTGATGATGTAAAGCTGTTCAATACCACAGACAATACTGCTACCCTTCAAAAAGACCTCGACTAAGTATCAGAATGGTCAAACAAATGGCAACTTCAAATCTCAACAAATAAATGCTCTGTGCTACATATTGGCAAAAAAAAATCAGAAAATAAAATACAGGCTGAATAGTCAAGACCTTGTTGATGATCCAAACTCTGTCAAGAAACTTGGAGTACTCATCTCAAATGATCTAAGTGCTAGAGCTCACTGTAACTACATAGCCAAAAAGGCTGAAGAGTTGTTAACCTAATCTTACATAGCTTTTTCTCTGGTAATATTACACTACTAACTAGAGCATACAAAACATTTGCTAGACCAATACTCGAATACAGCTCATCAGTCTGGAACCCACATTATGTATCCGATATTAACACAGTTGAGAAAGTCCAGAAATATTTCACAAGAAGAGTTCTCCACTCCTCTACTCGTTGCAGAATACCTTATGCCACCAGACTTGAAATTCTAGACCTAGAAAACCTAGAACTATGCCGCCTTTGGTCCGATCTAAGTATAGCATATAAAATCATACATTGCAATGTCCTACCTGTCAATGAATACTTCAGCTTCAACCATAACAATACAAGAGCAAACAATAGATACAAACTCAAGGTTAATTGCACCAAACTAGATTGCAGGAAATATGCCTTCAGCAACAGAGTGATCTATGTCTGGAATACTCTACCTGACTCTGTAGTTTCTTCCCCAAACTCCAAAAATTTAACCTTAGACTGTCTGCTATTGACCTCACCCCTTTCCTAAGAGGTCTATAGGGGGCGTGGATATGCGCACCAACGTACCTACATCCCTGTCCTATTGCTTCTTTTATTTTTCTTATATGTATCCATGTATTCATAACTATGTTTTTACTTATACCTATTATCTTGTAAGCAATTGACAAACCAAATAAAATAAAAACAGCACTGAAAAAGTGACTTGTGACCATTTTTCACAACCTTTGTAGCAGTCCAACATTCAGATGCCTGGCAATTGATTCATAGTTATGACCATTGCTGCGTCCCAAGGTCATGTGATTGTTTTTATGACTTTTGATAGCAAAATCAATGGGGAAGCCAGATCTACTTAACGATCATGGTACTAACTTAACAACTGCAGTGATTCATTTAATAACTGTGGCAAGAAATGCCGTGAAATGGGGCAAAACCCACTTAACACATGTCTCACTTAACAACAGAAACTTTGGGCTCAATTGTGCTCATGACTACCTGTACTCAGACAAAAGCCCTGTTCAAGCATTAAGAAAATAAATCTGTGAGTTTTCACACTACAATAAAAACACAACAGCAGATCCAGTCAACACGAAATCTAAAAACAGATGGAGCCAGGCTAGACTGCTCAAAAGAGAGTGCCAGGTAATTGCTTAGATAGGATGGGAAGAAGGAAGATACACAAGAAGGTTTGATACTGTTTTCTTCGTAGAGAGCTTTCTCTTGAAACTCAGGAAATAATACTTATTTCTAGCTCTTGAATTTCCTGTTAGTTTTTCTAAGTGGTTCTAGTTCAGCCTGTAAGGGGAAAGCTGACAACTGGACTGTACACACAATAGCACTTTATTAAGCTACATCCTTTGAAACCATTCCTAGCCTTGCCATGAAATAACCACAGTTTCTTGCAAAGAGATTAATTGCTCCACACTCCACACTCCAGAAGAAAAGCTACTTGCATATCCATTGGTTTACATGTGAAACAAACCAAAAATCTAGCAAAAATTGGAAATGCATAATTCTTGTCTTAATTCAGGCAAATTATGGGATTGGGAGCTGCAGGGAAACAATCTAAAAGTGTCTTGGAAAAGGGGTTTAAACACTGATATTTAATAATACCAGTTTTGTTCAATGCAATGTTCTTCTCATAAAATGCATTAGATTCCTTAAAATGATAATTGTTCTATGCACTGCCTTGCTCAAATCCACTGCCGTTTTACAAGTACTTGCTCACACGGTTCTCAGATTTTCAAGTCAACCCTAAGGTAAGAAAGTTCTCAGTGTGCTATGTAGCAGTGCACTGAACAGATTAAAAGTAACTTAGTTTGAAGAATTTTCTAGTTTACAAACCGCAATCCAAGGTCTACTAAGCATGAATTGTTTGTACCACTTTGTAATACCTTGCTAAAACCACACTTAGAGTGTTGTATCCGGTTTTGATTGCCATGATATTTAAAAAAAAAAAAAAGATGTTGAGATTCTAGCAAGAGAGCAGAGAAGACCAATGAAGATGGACTGGAGATTAAAACGTATGAAGAATGGTTGGAGGAACTGGGTGTACCTAGTCTAGTGAACAGAAGGACCAAGGGTGACATGATAGCAGCATTCAATTCTTGAGCGCCTGCCACAAAAAAAGAGGGAGTCAAGCTATTCTCCAAACCACCTGAAGGCAGGACAAGAAACAATGGATAGAAACTAATCAAGGAGAGAACCAACTAGAAATAAGAAGAAATTTCCTGACAGTGAGAACAATTAATCAATTGTTAACAATTAAACTTGCCTCCAGAAGTTGTGAATGCTCCAACACTGGCAATTTTAAGAAGAGATTGGATAGCCATTTGACTGAAATGGTGTAAGGTTTCCCTGCTTGGGCAGGAGCTAGACTTGAAATCCTCCAAGGTCCCTTCCAATTCTATTACTCTATTCTGTTCCAACACGGTAAGCAAAAACCAAACCACATTATGGATTAGTGTGATGTTTTAACCCAAGTATTTTGACCCAAATACTTTCAACTGAGCAGAAATGGTGAATAAAGCAAGGATATATACCAATTACTATATATATGCAAGGGCATTTCACCTCTGTCCAAGCTTCATGAGCTCTAATATTTTTCTTCTACACAAGGCCAAGAGACCATGTAAAATGATACTTACATGGTCTTTATGTAACCCCCATCTGCAAAAATCTTCTTTTAGGTCAATTTTTTGAGGAATTTCATCTATGCAGAAGGTACTTGTTTGCAGTGGGCATTTAGCCTTCATGTTGACCTTGAAGAAAATTATTCATAAATAAAAGCCATGGATTTTATATCAAGAGGCAGCGCAAACTCTCCACAATCACTTCCAAGCCACCAGACATACCTTATACAGCTTTTTAAGCACTTCGAGGGTATCAAAACATGACTTGTCTTTGCGACAAACATTATAATAAGGCAACATGGCTGAAACACACGTCTTCAACATTTGAACTATTTGCTCTAAAAACAGATCTGGCAACAAGGACCAATAATTTTCTGAAAGAAAGATATTTTCAAGTCATTAAAAATACAGACAGGATCAATCGTATGCTAAGTAAGCCAAACTGAGGAAAATCCTTGAGGCTACAGAAGAGCTAAGCAATATTTTGAGGAGTAGAAAGCCAATTTTAATTTTAGTCTAGATTCCAAGATTAATGTCTAGAGGTGAACAACAATGAAGGAACTACTCTGAGGTAAACCCTTGTATTCAGATTGTCCTTCACTTGCAAGAGTTCATTTGGTGACCACTTGAAGTTACAACAGCACTGAAAAAAAGTGACTCACTACTATTTTTCAGCTTACTACCATTGTAGCATCCCCATGGTCACATGATCAAAATGTGGACTCTTGGCAACTGACTTCTATTTATGATGGTTGCAATGTCATGGGATCATGGTATCACTTTTTGCAGCCTTCTGATAGACAAAGTCAATGGGGAAGCCAGATTCTCTTAACAAACGTATTTCTAATTTAATATCTGCGGTGATTCACCCAACAACTGTAGCAAGGACTGTCAGAAAATGGGGCAAAACTCTCTTAACAAATGTCTCATTTAATAACAAAAATGTTGGGCTCAATTGTGGTCATACATTGAGGGTTATCAAAAGCTCTTGGTTTCTTTGGCTTGACATTAATCTTGCCAGATTAATGCATTATGCATTACCTGCATAACTATTAGATTTACCTGGTAAACTGTCAGGAGCGGATTCACCTTCCCTCTTTTTCTGCATACCAAAAATTCCAAACTATCTCTTTGCTCCCTAGAAAAGAGCCCCTCCCTTGTGCAACTCCGGACTACCTCATGCAACTCTTGTGACTAACTTGCCCCCAAGCCACTTGAGGCTTCCTATAGCAGTGAGAATACATTGTAGGACACATGTTAGGTTTTCCGCAATTTTCTTGATGCCCTCAAGGGCTGTCCTATAAAGCAGTGGCCCCCAACCTTTTTTGTGCCACGGCCCAGTACCGGCATCACAAAATGATCCGCGGCCCGGTACTGGCATCAGCACGCATGACAAGGCAAGGTGAGCCGAGCGACCAGCCAGCCAGCCATCCCCCGCTTCTCCCTGCCACCTTCAACTCCTCCTTTGTACCTTTGTCGATGGGCTTTGCTTTGGGACGGCTTCGGGACGATCGCTCGGCTCACCTTGCCTTGGGTGCTGAAAGAATCCTTGCGCCTTAGTTTAATTCAAAGCCCCCCCCTTCGATGAAACTAAGGCGCGAGGATTCTTTCAGCACCCAAACGCCGCTTTCCAACCGGAAAAGCTCACCCGGAAGCACTTTCTCGTCAAACAAGATGGCGGCGCCCAGCAAACCGGCGGCCCAGTAGGAAATGTTCCACGGACCGGTACCGGTCCAGGGCCCGGTGGTTGGGGACCCCTGCTATAAAGCATGGTTCTGAAAACCACTGAAAACCTGGCTTTGTTCCCGGGTCTCAGTCAAAGTAGGGTGGCTGTGGAGCTCTTTTTGTTTTTCCCCCTTCTGTGGAATTTTTTAAGGTGTTGAGTTTCTCATTCTAGATATTCAGGATTTCCTCTCTTTTTTTTTCTTGCTTTATTTTATAATGGAAGTCACATTACATTGGATGGCTTCAAAATGTAACGAAACAAACAAACATTTAAGGTTTGTCACACAGAGAAAGGAACACCCTAGTTCTCTGTTACCTTGGAGGGCAAGATCAGAACCAGTGAGATGAATCTATAGGGAAGCTCTACAGATAGAGCCATCAAACAATGGACTAGATTTCCTCATGAAGACATAGATTCCCCTTCACTAGAGGGGTTCAAACATAGATCAGATAGCTATCTAGGATTAAATAATCTCTATGAAACCTTCTGTGCTTATGGCTCTATTGCTTTTGCTGAGAAAATGTAGAATTCTCTTGAGCTGAGAGACTGAGGAATATAACACGTGAATGAGGGCACACAGGATGTGTGAAAAGAGAAAAGGAGAATTGTCCCAAACTCACCTAGAATGTTGGAAGATCCTTTGCTCAGACCTGTGACAGCTTCAGCAAACTTTAAAGCTAGTGACGGTATCCTGTGTGCTTCAAGAGCAACACAGCACTCAGGCACCAGAAGAAAAATAGCAAGAGCTTCTTGGTGGGGAGAACTCCGTGGAAGAGCAAGAAATAGGTGGTCCAATAGAGAAGAACCAATCTGTTTAAAAACAGTAGGTATAGCTGGGTACAGATCTATCTAGTTTCAGAAGAAAAGCAGATATGTAAGAAGGAACGATTGTTGTCCTGTCCACTCCTGAACTGCAGCCCATTGTGGTGTAGCACCAGGTTGCACGATCAGAAATGACTTTGCCAGAACTGAATCTGTCTTAAGTGAGAAGATATTAAAAAGGCCTGCAAAGAGACACTAGTGTCCCATGAGGTTGAGGTTGCATGGATCAGGTAACAAGCCTTCTCTGTGTATGTTCTAGTCCAGTGGTCACCAACCAGTGGGCCAGGGACCACCGGTGGTCTGCACGAAAATTTTGGTGGTCCGCAGAGAAATGTCACTCCCAAAGCATCCCCCAAAGCAATTAATCCAGGCTGCACAGGAACACAAGGCTGCGCCGCCCACATGGTCCGCGGGAACACAAGGCTTGCATCACTTGCATTGCGAACAACATGAGGTAGTGAGGGGAGGGGGGAAAGGGTGGAGGGGGGAATTTGCCCCCGGGCTGCTTTTTTCCACTTCTTTCTTCTTCTGCTTTTGGTTGCATGCAAAGAAAGCAGGAAAAGTCTTTCTTTCTCTCCCCCAAACTCAGCCAGAAATGAGTCTGGGACCCTGCAAGGTATCCTGCTCCAAGAGGCTATGCC